TCCCATGAGATATCTGGCTAATTGAAGTCACACCTGACAACCATGGTCCTGGAGCATGTGGCCTCAGCCAGTTCCTGGGCGAGCTCCTAGTCATGCTCAGGACTTTGGGTGGGAGGTCTGTAGTAGACTCCCACCATTGTGTCCCCTGTGCTGTGTTCCCCACGAATTTTAACCCAGAGGGTCTCTAGCTGTCCACCCTGGTCACCAATATCAGCTTGCAGGGACATGTAGCTTTCCTTAACATAGAGAGCTACACCCCTGCCCCTTTTATCTACACGATCCCTCCTGTACAGGGTATAGCCATCTATACCTGAGGTCCAGTCATGGGTGGAGTCCCACCAGGTCTCCATTATCCCAATGACATCATAATTATTTGCACTGAGCAAATATTAAGGGATATTATCAGGTCACTAACAGATAAGAGAAATGCAGTAGAAATGGTAACCCTGTTAAGTGGAGAGCAAAACCATTCAAGAGGGTTGTTATCACCTGTGGCCTGCAGGAAAATTAGGGGGGACGAGTTGCATTATAATGGGTCTTGAAATCAGTGTCTGTTAAGTCGCTCGTTCTTAGTGTCCAGTAAGCTAATGAATTTTTACTCCTAGGCCCATTTTTGTTTTTTAAATTTCTCTTGAGCGTGAGGACTACAAGGTCAGAAAGGGAGTATTTTTTTGTGGAAAATGTTCTCTTACTAATGTCCTAGTGTCTCTGTTCTTCAGGCCTATTTCTCAATTTGACCTTTTATTTTTTGTTACCACCTTGCAGAGGCCAGCAAACTTGTCATGTCATATGTAGCAGCTGTTTGTGGAAAAGGAGCTGAAGTTAATCAAGTAAAAGAACAACTTTTACAGTCAAATCCAGTGCTTGAAGGTACGTGTCCAGTAGTAGATATAGAAACCAATTATATTGTATTAGCCTATTTTTTCAGCTGTTTTTGACAACTGAGTTCAAGTAAATAATAAGTTAAAATACATTTAGTAGAATTAAACTGTCAGTCTTGTCATACCATGGTTAATAAACTCACTGCACCTCTCCAGGTTTTTTCCAAGAGTACCCTTTCTCAGGTCTTTGTTGTGTAACAGAGGCATGTTGGAGTAGAGTGTGGATGGGGCCCTAGGCTGAAGTCCACTCCTTGGATGGGGCTGGGGATGCAGTCTCTGGTCTGTCAGATGCGATTACCTCAGTCGTCTTGACTTAGGTTAGGTACTTAAAGTTTATTTCCTTCTGTGATCCATGGTTGTAGTATCTAGAAGTCAGATTAACTTCTTAAAAGTATTTATTTGGAACAAAAGCATTTAATAGAAAAGAGATCCGAAAGCAGTAAACCTATCCATATGCATGTCTGTCATTCTGTCCTGCTTACTATTCCTTGCATTGGGCAAAAGACCTAACTCAGTTGCTTCTGCAGTGTGATAACAAGGTGTGATAACATTCATGTATTTGTCTGTTTCCCCTGAGCACGACCTCTTCTCTTCTTTTAACTGTTTACTGATTTATTTTAACCTGAGCCTCTTGCTTTAAAAAATGAGGTTTTCCATCTTTCTTGCATACACAATATGGAAACTAGAAATTCCCCCATTCTCTTATAATTGGTTCCAAAAGCGTTTTTTCTCTAGGTTCATTGTGTTGCATCCATGATTGACTTTCACACTGTTGAGTAGTAAGCTAGAACTAAGCGTTAATACAGGGAAGTCTCACAAGTAATTACACAATTACTTCCCTTCATCACCAGGCCAAATACAGAATTTGTAAAATTATGATATTTCATTATGTGCTTAGCAATTCCATGTCTGTGAAAGAGATTCAACAACAAGCAGAGAGTGTTGTCTTTTGTTGTTTTTAATGTGTTGCAAAGAACCGCATGCAAGTGGAAGTAAAAACATTGAAGGAAGGGGAGGGAGGCATAATGCTCTGAACAGAAAAGGATAGGAAATGTGCTGAGAGAAGGTCAGAGATGTGGGAGCTGGTAACAGTTTATAATGGTAATCATTCAGGAATAAAGTTTCAAGATGCAAAACCAAATTCTAAAGTATTTAAATGAGCACGTATGGCAGATGAGCCTGTCCTGCTGATGAAAAATGTTCTACAAAAGACTGAGTGGAGGAAATACAATCCGACGTCATTTCTGATTGACAGAATCCATTTTTTATCATTTCTATTAAAGAAAAACTTGATACATGGGCAAAATTGATGGGAGCTTTCAGGTTTTCTCTAACCAATGCTGAATGGTTCCCTGGAGACTGCTAAAATCTGCTGAGTTTCCTGAGTAGAGAGCACCAGTTGTAGGGTCTTGTCATAGGCAAGGTTTGGCTCATGCTGTTGGGCAGTGGTCCTATCAGTGTTGCTAAAATGGTGTCTGATACCAAGTGGGGTTGATGGTCCCTGTACTTCTGTGGGTCAGGTCCTATAGTTTGGGAAACTCACTCTTAAATAAGTAAAAATGTTAAAGTAAGTTGGAAAGGATGCAATATATTTGTGCTGCGTGTTGCTGTGTTATCCAGTTCTGGGTTGCATTTCAGGAGCTGAGATGTGACACTGTATCATTGCATGTTTAGCAGTGATGAAGCTCTGAGCAGGCATTTACATATATTTTTAGCTGTAAACTGCCTATGTGAGCTCAGACTCTGCCTTTGTATGTAGTTCTATTTCAACTAAGCTGTAATACAATCAATAAAAGAGCAGAAATATTCTTAATCTCTAAGTTTTCTTATGGGAGTGCTCTGTTTTTAACTATAGCTGCTTCCCTAGATTAGCATAAGAAACACTGAGCTTGGTAGAAAACTGAGGAATGTCTTTCTCCTTTTCATAATGAAACATTTGTATTTGAATCTGTGCATAGTTATAAATAACTCTTTATGTTTAATAATATGCAGCTCAGAGCCATGGTTGTTGAAAAGATGATTTATTGTACTGTATAAAATTTTTAAAACAATTCTTTCACTTATCCCTGGCCTTTGAGAGCAACCAGCTTTGCCTTTTTGGCCTGAGTTTTGATCCAGAATAGCTTCTCCATACAAATTTTTCAAAGCAGAAAAACATGTATTTTTCCACCCACGGAAATGTCAGCTTTATGTGCACATTAAATATAAATAAATAAAAAAAATCTTGGGATAAGTCAGTCATAGCTTTCTCTTAGGAGCATGAGCACCATGTTTCAAACGAGCAAAAGGTATATATTCCCTCTTGGCAAACAGCTTAAAATACGTGATTTAGGATTTTAACTTGTCCCACAATTTATTTTGAATTCACATTGTATGTTGTGGGCTGGTGGTTCAGCAACTGTGCTTAGCCCTGAGAGAGCACTTTCCTCTATGCCTTTTATTGTCAGAAACCTGAACAGGTTTTTAAAAAAAAAAAAAAAGCTTTTATACCAAGTTTTATGCAAACTCAGGGAACTGGTGGACAGGATCCACTGAGAGGAAAGTTGGGAGAAAAGGAGTCGAAGATCACTGGCTGTACTTCAAGGAGGCCCTTTTAAGGACGTGGAGGCAAGCTATCCTGATATGACAGAAGAATGGGAGATGCAACAGAAGACCAGCTTGGCTAGACCGCAATCTCTTCAACAAGTTGTAACTTAAAAAATATCTGAGAAAAAGTGGAAACTTGGTCATGTTACTAGAGAAGAGTATAAGAGTATCACATGTGCTTTGGCCTTTCTGATTTTGTCCCTACATGCACAATTTGAGATGCAACTGGCAAGGGCCATCAAAGGCAGTGAAAAAGAGCTTCTATGGGTATGTCAAAATGAAGAGAAAGACCAAAGAAACTGTAGGTCGCTTGTAGAAAGTAGAAGGCAATCCAAGTATTTAATTCTTTTTTTTTTTTACTTCAGTCTTCACAGTTAGGGGCAGCTGCCAGATGACAAGTGTAATTGGCAGCAAAGACAGGGAAGAGTCAAACAGAATAATGGCAGAACAGGTTAGGGAGGATTTAGAGCAGCTAGATGCATCCTAGGAGTACCGATGGAATTGGCTGAGGTAATTTCAGAGGTATTAGCTATCCTTTTTGAGAACTTGTGGACGTTGGATGAAGTCCTGGATAATTAGAAAAGGAGCAATATAGTGCCCACCTTTATGAAAGGGAAGGAAGGGAGTTCTGGGGAACAAGAGATCAGTCCGTCTAATCTCGATACCTAGAAAGATCGTGGAGCAGGTCCTCAAGAAAACTCTTGTGAAGCACCTAGAGGAGAACAAGGTGATCAGGAACAGTTGGCATGGATTCAACAAGAGCATGTCATGCCTGACCAACCCGATTTCCTTCTTTAATAAAGTTACAGAGTCAGTGAATTGTGGAGAGCAGCAGATTTTAGCAAGGCTTCTGACAGTGTCGCCTATGACATTCTCATTAACAGGCTAAGGAAATACAGACTAGACAAAAGTGATGTAGATCAGGGGTGCTAAGCCTCTGGCCTGTGGGCCAGATATGGCCTACAGAGCCATCCCATCTAACCTATGGGGCTCCCCACAGGTTAGGAAATATGATGGTGGGGGAGCAGCGGTCATTAATATGGCCACCCTCCCCTATGGTCAAATTCATAACTCCAGGCTCTGTGGCAGGTTGGAGCTGGGCCACACTTCTTCCCTCAAGTTTGGATCGGGGTTGGGCCATGCCCCCTCCCTGCCTCAGGGCTGGGCCACTCCTCTTGTGGGGCCTTGTTGGGGCTGGGCTTTGCCCTCTCTCCCTACAGGGGCCAGGCTATATCCCCTTCAACTGTGGTGCTGGGTTAACCCTCCACACCCCTCCATGTGACCAGATGGTGTCTACTGTGCCTGCCCTGGGTGGTGGATCAGGGTCACTGGCTGGATCTGGCCCATGGATGACCTGGGCACTGCCCATCTGGCCTGTGAGAGGAAAAGGTTGAGCACCAGTGCTGTAGATGGAGTTGGATCATGGTGCTTAACAAATAGTCACCAATAGCTAAATGTCTAGTTGGGAGGAGATATCAATTGGAGTTCCCCAGGGATCTGTCCTGGGTCTGGTATTGCTTAACTTGTTAATGATTTGCATGACGGGATTGAGTGTATGCTTGGCCAATCTGTGGATGACACCAAGTTGTGTGAAGTTGCAGATAATCTGGGGGGGTAAGGCTAAGATCCAGAATGTCCTGGATAGTCAGGAAAAATGGTCTGCAGTGAAGTAAATAAAATTCAACAAGGACAAGTGCCAAGCCCTGTACTTGAGACAGAATAATTGCATTCACAAGTACAGACTGGGGAGTGAGCGGCTAGGCTGCAGTATAGCAGAGAAGGACCTGGGGGTTACATATGAATATGAGCCAATAGTGTGCTCTTGGTACAAAAAAGGCTAACAGTATATTAGGTTGCATTAACAAGAGCGTCCCTTGCAAACCAAGGGAAGTGATTCTTCTGCTGTACTCGGTGCCGGTGAGGTCTTAGCTAGAGTATTGGGTACAGTTTTGGGTCCTTCACTTGAAGGAAAAGGTGGAAAGATTGGAGAGTCCAGTTGAGAGCAACAAATGATTAGTGGCCTGAAATGCATGACTTTTGAGGAAAGGCTTATGGTAGGGTCGTTTAGTTTGGAGAAGAGAATCCCCCCAAATCCTTTAAGGGGATTTGGTTAGAGTTTTCAAATACCTGAAGAGAGAGAAGGGAGATGGGCTTTTCTTTGTGGCTGTAGAAAATAGGACTGGGAGCAGTGGCATTAAGCTGCAGCAAGAAGATTTAGATTGGAGATTAAAAGGAAGTTTCTGACTATGAAGGTAGTCAAGCATTGGAGCAGGCTACCTTCAGAAGCTGTAGAATCTCCATCTGTAGCAATTTTCAAAAGCAGGTTGGACAGATACTTGACTGGAATGGTTCGTCAGGGAGCCAGGCTAGATGACTTTGTGAGGTCCCTTCCAGCCCTTTTTT